TGGTTAAGGGTGATCACTCAGTTGGCTCCTTCCTCTCACCCTGTATTAATGTAGGTTTTTGCACAGAATACAACAGACACAGACTCAATACAGGGAGATTTGCCAACACTTATAGTATTCTTCACAATGCAGGCCATTCGTCATTGAAGTTTTGTTATGTATTTTGTTATTTGAACAACTTTGCCATACACATAGTTATTAAATATTGCATTTATTTTTTAATACGGTGATTCAATTTGGTTGAACTGTTTGCTGAATGAGTGGTCTCTGAGGCTAGAATTTTTAAATGTGTGAATTTTAACAACGACAAAAATAATACTATTATTCTCCTTCACATATAGCTTCCAGGGATACTGTGCTCACCATTGTTAAATGAATATTTACCAGAGTATGATATTAACTTTACTGCATTATTTGTGATTTCCTATCGCTGCTGGGAAGCACAACGAACACAATGAAAAGCTTAGCTACTGCAAGCGCTGTCTAACGTTCAATGGCACTCACTTTGTTTTCTCTCTACATTTAAAGCTGAATTCAAATTTCAAATCAAAACCTGACAAAAAGGGTTTTCAAACTAACATTGACAAGCCGTGATGAAATGTGAACCAGCTGCTTAACAGAAAACACTCCTATCTGCTCACAGAGGGCCACTCGCTCAATGGAGAGAGAAAAGTGACAAAAAAGACACCCACCTCTACAGAACTCAGGGGCTTCTGACCATGTGAAATTCTCAAGACAAGTAATGACAGGTCTCAGTTCGGTGCTCTCATATCCTGGACGACAGACATAACTCACAGTGGTCCCAGGAGGACAGTAATTCTTTGTCGCATCTTCCGCACTTAGGGCAGCAGATTTTAACCTTGGTGTGGCACCACAGGCACCTAGCAAAAACAAACAAACAACAAACAAAAACGTGGTCGGAAAGATTTAGCTATAAAGATAGGCATAAAAATTGTACTTTTAGCTTTATGTTTATAAATAAACACACACACATATATTTAAAAAAAAACAACAGAAACACAGCTCTGTAACATAAGTGAAGGGTACCAAACAGGTACCCTGCCCCAAAAGTTTATGATTTAGAGATAGGGTGACCAGATGTCCCATTTTTAAAGGTACAGTCCTGTTTTGGGGGACTTTTTCTTATATAGGCGCCTATCCACCCCCCACCCCCTGTGCCGTTTTTTCATGGTTGCTCTCTGGTAACCCTATTGAGAGGCAGCAGCAGCTATTACAGTACAGCCACAGAACTGCATATGAGCATTAGAGCAGGACACTTTACAAAATATGTAGGGGAAGGGAGATTTTTAAAAAATTATTTTTAAGGAAGAGAGGCAAGCAACTTCAATCAAGTTAACTGGGTGCTGCTCCAAATAGTGGGTGGTACGAAGTAAGGAGTAAAAAAGAAAAGGAAGGAGCTAAGAGAGAGAGAAACGAATTAGTAGATTAAAGCT